TACGCTTTCCTGCATCCCTCCATGCCGACAGAGCTGACAGGCCTCCATGTGCAAAGCTCCCTCAGCCTTCCCAAAAGTTCCTGTTCTTCTGGATGTTTTCAGTGGGAGAAACATTTCGTCACTGCTCCAGGTGACTTCTTCAGTCTCAGCTAAATGGAAGGCTTCCAACCTTTTAAACAGCACATTTGCATAACGGTAATTATCTTCTATTATTGCCTTTTTTATCTTTCTCCATCTGTGTCAAAAGTTAGCTCTGTCTTTTCTCTCCCTGTGAAATACAGCAGCTGCGCCTTTAGCTGCAACACACTGTGTGACAAACTGCACATAAACAGTTTGTGTGTTTGCTGCATTTGAAATTACCTGCCACTGAAAAGGCATTATTGCCTGCATGGTTGCTTGTTTTCTGTAGGGCTAGCTAGATGCTGAAGTACTGCAACCGAAACTTATGGACACCTGCAGTTGTTCTGGTGTTACTGCAAGAAAAATAAAAACCCCTCTTTTTATGCGACATCCCCTGGTCATTATTACACAAACAGAAATGACTTAGGATTGATACCTGAAAATTCTACTAAGTACAGTAACAAAGTATTTGTACTTTGTTACTTCCCACCTCTGGGCAACTTTCCCACCTCTGGGCAACACTTTGTGAAGATGACAATATTTAGATGCTTGGGAGAGCGTCAGTCTGTGCCTAAAACGGTTGCCTACAGAAGAGTACTTCCGTTTGTAGCCATATGATCCTTGTGGCCACAAATGTAGTCGAGCCCTAGTGACTTTGATAGCATTCATAAAGAGGGACATTATTGTGAGACCTAAAAGCATCTGAGGGTTCAAAAACACTTGAAAGCTCTTTCCACTCCGCCATAATGATCTTCGGGAGAGAGAAGGTCATAATGAGAAGAGTGAGGATGATGATGGTGACTCTGAAGCTGAGGTAGCCAGCCTGACAATCATCCCTCCCCTACTGGCCTTAACCTTAAAGCATAAAACTTACAAGCAGAAGTCTGGAAGCTTAAAAGTCTGCTTAGAAGAGTCACTGGAGCTGCAAAAGGGCTTTGAAGCAGCTGGATGATGGCAACTTCTTAGGGAGGGGCTGTATGATTAAGGCCTCTTTGACGATCCACATCCCCTGGAGAACCATAGTTATGGACAATATTTCATGTCCAAGACCGGAGGGGCAAGAGGACTGCACAGCCTGATCTATTTGGCAAGGTAAACGCCATTATGGTCCTTTACTTACTAGCAGTGGCGGTCCTAGCCCGTTTGGCGCCCTGGGCGAACACTCCCTCTG